TTACCATGGGCCAAAGTCGCCAACACAACCGCACACGGCTCAACATCGGCCTCGGAAACGGGTCCGCTCGGAGACGAACAAGCCCCCACTTCAACCATTCGCACCTTAGCAGCTGTCTTGGCCGCCGGTCCGCCTAGACACTGACATTCTGACTTCAGTACCCCCCACTCGATCCCCACCGAGCCTGACAACAACTGCAGTACATATCTCCACCAACCAGCATAATTTATGTATTCAACTACCATATAGATCTACAGGCCTGAAAAGAATTTATCGGAAGCAAACATCTACTCGCCAATCCATCTTTTGCTATTTCCATAGTAGACAAGTAAGCTGATGACTAGACGACAAACAGATTACGTGTGCACATATGTTGCGCGCATGGCCCACCGGACGACCATCAACATTGAAGTGTTTTTCCGACTGGGCTGCTGTATACTCACCTCCGCCTGAAAACTATCCTGACCACGTTGTCAAAAGCTGCCATACGACGAAACACAGGGGAAACTTTCTTTTGGCGTTTTTGCTGATTCATCAGTTAGACTGCATTCGCGGTGAATTGTCTGCGCAGGTTAACTGCTGATATTTGTGTTTTGTTAGCAGGTGTGTTGTCTTCTCTCTTTCATTTCTTCTTTTCTTCTTCCCTTGCACAACCTGCTCATTTCCGACTTCTTTTCCTTGTTTAGCACTGCATCCATTCCCACTTCAGGCGACCGAGGTTCCCGTGTTCTAAGCTTAATATTAGTTATAACATAAACCTAAACCGTAAGTCTAATCTTAACCCTGAACCTTCACTAAACTCTATCCCTAGGGTTAACGCTAACCCTAAATTTCAGCTCAACTTAGCGCTGATATTAACCCGAACCTTACAACTAACCCTAAACTTCACTTTAAGCCTGACCATCAAACTAACTCCGTATCGCGAACGGTTTCTGTTCTCAATTCCTGTTTAGGTAGCCACATAAGTCGTATTTACCGAAAAATTAGGAACATTTTGTAGCAATAGTGCTGTGAATTCGATTCCCAGGTTTTAAATTACAAGAAAGAGGAACGTTCACCGGGAGAGATGCATTGTAGGTCTGACGTTTCGGTTAGTTGCCTCGTCTACCCATCTCCAGAGAATGAACACTCTGGCTCTTGGTCCTCGTCTTTATGCCGCTCCTTCTTCTGAGTGCGTTTCCT